ACTTAGTATATTTGTTAATAATTACATACAATACACGGAATGTGTGTGTGTTCCAAGTGCATCTGCAGCCCCCTGGTGGCCAGTGCATAAATGATGTGGCCCCCACCACCATCCAAGTTTCCCATCCCTGATCCAGATCTATAAAGTAACTAAAGGTATTAATACATGTAGTGGAGTAAAAGTACACCATTTACTTCTGAAGTGTAGTGGAGTAGAAGTACAACATGGAAATACTCAAGTTAAGTACTGTTAGAGATTAAAAGGGATATCTGGTCCGCTTTTCAAATCTCTGCGCGTCCCTATCAAGCTGGTTAATACAGGAAGGAATCCAGAGCTACCAAATAACCGTTACTTTAATGATAATATGACAATACAATACAATCAATACAGTACAAATTCAACACAGTTAATCCCTGGGATCCCGAATTTACCTGCACGTGAGCCAGCCAGAGGAAAGAGGCTGAACACCGCGTGTGTTTCTGTGTTTCTACTCTTTGACAATGGGAGGAGTTATCAGATCCTCCCATTCGGACATCATTGATTGGCAGCCCCAAATATCACCAACACCTTAGACCTTAGGCTTCCCCAATCACTGTAGCTAGATCTAAATTGAATGCAACTCAAGACATGCTCTCACCTTCCCCCATCTTCCTTTGTCCTCAAAAACACATGTCAAAAGGCCCCAAATCCAGCTCACAGTTTTACCCAAATTATTCTCATTTTAAGCTTATCCATAGTTTGCTAACATGAATAAATACAAATATAACTCTACAAATCCCCCTTTTTATCTCCTTCTCCAGAGATAAACTTAGACAAGGCATTTTGAAATATACCCACTGTCATTCTTTTCTACTGTGTCCGTCCCCCAAACATTGTATAAATCCATCCGAAGCTGGTATTTTGAGTACTTGAAACCTTCATGGAGACAGAACACCACTTTCCATGGCAGTGAATGAACCATGAGGGGGCAGCTGAGTGCTAGAATCATCAGCCCCCCGCTCCCCCCCCCCCTCGGAGGAATAGCCCACAAGGACAGCTACTAGGGAGGGGGAGATGCGGCTTGCCCTTCACGGGTGGAACTGATCAGAGAGAAGTAGACTCCTCTGCTGCCTCGACAAGTCCCCTGTGCCGTCCTGGCTTGCCGTGTCTTTGTCCCCCCGATCCGCTGACAGCAGCTTCTGGGCTGCCTGCTAGAGAGATGTCTTCCTCCTCCTCGTCCTCCGGCCCGCTGATGGCGGCTTCCGGGTCGATGCTGTTGAGATGTCTTCCCGATCCTCCTTCTCCAGTCCGCTGATTCTGAGTAGTCCACGTCTGCCAGGGCCACGTCCGTCCTGATGTCGTCCCCTGGTCCTAGCAGGTGGTTTCCCCGCCGCACACTGGCTCCCGTGGTACGAGCTGTCCCCCTTTTCTCCCAGGCAGACGGCATAAGAGGTCCGCTGGGTCACTCGGTCGGGGATCGGAGAGCCTGGGGTTGAGCCACTTTGTCCTGATGACTTTCAGCCAGACGAACTCTGCTGTGTCGGCCTCCTGCTTCTCGGGTCCCCCTTTTGGCGCCAGCGACCTGTGTGGAGAAATCTGATACAACTCCCTCAAGCCTACGCTCAGCTGTTTTGACCCACTTGGAGCCTGTTGGTGGGGTGTCTTGAAACAACAGCCGTCTGTGAACAGGTTTTCTAAATTAATTGTAGACCTCCTATCTGCCAGTGCAGCTTCAAAATCTTAATACTTGGATTGTGCCAACTAAATAAGAACCCCAACATCTTTAGGTAAACTAAATAACATATTTCAATAGCTCTGAATTTCTGACAAGCATCCGTGTTACTCTAAATGAAATCCTATTTAAAATCCAAATCTAATATGAACTGCTAATGTTTCTGGTAAAGAAACACACTAATGTTATGGATTCAAAAACAACCAAAATCACGATACTAACAAAGTGAATGATTTCCTAGTGATACTGCTTCTACCTGTCAGTGCTTAGATATTATTACGCTGAAAAATGAATACAGAATTCCAACAAACTGTCATCAAATGTCTTTCTATTCTAAATTTAGATGAAATGTATATCCCCATAATGACCTAAATAATAAAGTCTATGGCTTTTACTTCTTTACCAGGCTAGTTACAGGATGTTGTCTAAATTAAATTCTGTCTCAATACATTACTATGTTTTAGCTTTAACTGTAATATGTTCTTTCTACATTTCAAACCTCAGTTGCTCTAATGTCTGTTAAAATATTACAAAATTGTTTCATTATCACAGGTCAACTTCTTCGGTTTCACAGTAGCCCCTTGGCCACTGCTTCTTTGTTACCTGCTATAATTCAAATCAATATTTAGAAACATCTCAACATACATCAAACAGTATCTTATCCCCAGATATGGAGCAGGTTAATTACATTCAATGCTCAGTTTGAACCCCATCAAGCTGGTTAATACAGGAAGGAATCCAGAGCTACCAAATAACCGTTACTTTAATGATAATATGACAATACAATACAATCAATACAGTACAAATTCAACACAGTTAATCCCTGGGATCCCGAATTTACCTGCACGTGAGCCAGCCAGAGGAAAGAGGCTGAACACCGCGTGTGTTTGTGTTTCTACTCTTTGACAATGGGAGGAGTTATCAGATCCTCCCATTCGGACATCATTGATTGGCAGCCCCAAATATCACCAACACCTTAGACCTTAGGCTTCCCCAATCACTGTAGCTAGATCTAAATTGAATGCAACTCAAGACATGCTCTCACCTTCCCCCATCTTCCTTTGTCCTCAAAAACACATGTCAAAAGGCCCCAAATCCAGCTCACAGTTCCACCCAAATTATTCTCATTTTAAGCTTATCCATAGTTTGCTAACATGAATAAATACAAATATAACTCTACAGTACTCAAAATGTACTTAGTTACTTCCAACTTCTGATGAAAAGGAAGAAAACATTTAACCCATGAGGGCGGCAGACAAAAAGGACTGATGAAGTATTTGTGTGGAAATATTCACATGAAATAAGATTTTTCAAACCGTTTATTTCTTAGTTTTACAACTGTGACAACAACTTCATTATTAGAGAAGCTGTTTCAAAGCCCCAGATCTGTTTCTCTGCAGGCTTTCGACTCAGAGGACTTTCGAGTGATCAAACTTGTGATTTGATCAAGTGTTTCTGTTCAATGTGTTCCCGTTTCTCTGCAGAAACTCCCTGCAGCGGGACGATCACTATCAGCTGTGCTACTAAGGCAGTCTTGGGGTTAATTGACGTCATTGAAATGATTTTATCTGAACGCCACGCGAGACTTTAAAATCAAGCCATTTAAGCACCACTTACATCCAGGCTTCACAAGTCTGAATCACAACGTTAAATACAACAACAAAATCTTAAAATATTGTCATTATTTTTTACTATTCTCAGAATTCGTCTGAAAAATTAGAACCTTAGTTATAAAATCTGTTTTAAAATAAACTTTGTTATGTACAGTCAATAGATAGTTAAAGTGTTTTAAGATGGGGTTGTTTTTTTATACCAACATTTGTTCAGAAACCAGGGAATTCTGGGGGTTTACATATTAATTCATGTCTCATTTTGTACTGGTTTTAGTCTGTATTGGGTCATCTACTGTAGGTGATACACAGACTATGGAGAAGTACCTCATTCAACCATTTTAAAACATCTGAATCATCCCTCTCAATACACCACAATGTGTGAATCAACAGTAGGTGCAATCAAAGTGGAAATAAATACAGAAATTAATCTTACTATACTAACACTACCACTGAAAGCACACACTCTTATTATGCTCTCATGTAGATACATTAGATATTTGCACGTGTAAATCCTGTTGACATCTCGTCGCAGGAATGCCGTTCTTCCAGTCGGGGCGGATGTTTCTGATGAGATGATATGTTGGGACTCGCCAGGTACACAGTGGGTGCCTCTCACTTCGGTAAAATGGATTCCTTGCGTCCTTCACTTGCGTCGTTTCCCTACGACTAGTCCCTCCCACCAGGGAAGCATGGAGAGACGGAAGGAAACCACGAGAAGCAGGGAAATTAGTTTTAAGAGCAATGGGACGTCGTTTCCTCCGGAGCGTCACGTGAAGCGACGTCCGTTTGTGATGACGGTGCACAGCTGATCGTCTGACAGCAGCCAGATCAGTGCATGCACTGCATCGTCCAATCAGTGAGCGATACACAGTAAGGGGGCGGGGCGAGTGTCTGAGGATTTCACAGGAGGATGGTCTGGTAGTTCCTCGATTATCGCTCCTCCGTTATCGCTCCTCGACCCTCCGGCACAAATAAGGCCACTGGGACGCTACTCAAGACGGCGCAGACAAATCAACTTCCGGTGATACCGAGCCCGAGGAGCGAGGAAATGAAAAGTAAGAGAAGTGAGACGCACCCAGTGATCCAAAGTGAGAACGACCCTCAGATGGCACCAGGTATTTCATGTTGAGTTGCTGAGGGGCTTCATGAGTTCATTATCAGCCCTTCACACAATCTGACCCCCATTCCCTTTAGTAACACAGGTTATTAATGGCACCGGCATTTACACAATGTTCAAGCTAGGTCATCGACACAGGCAGGGTTTGATCGAGAATTAAAGAGGCCCCGTTAGGCTTTTAGGAGTTTCCCTTTTCTGTAGTGTGTTATATAGGTTTTAGTGCATGTAAATGGTCTGCAAAGGCTAAATCCCTGTGTCCCCCCCCCCCCCCCCCCCCATGCCTCCATTGAACTCCTTTGAACATATCTGGTTAGGGTTAGCCTTCCCCTTCCTAACCCTTCCTGAATATCACTAAGTAACACGCTTCTATTGGCTAGCGCTCCAACACATTGTACGTGATCGGCTAAGGGGCGGGACATCTGAAAGCGGTTGACCAATCAGAACAGAGCCGGCCAGCTGACCAATCAGAGCAGACTGGGCTCTGGTGTCAGACAGCCCCTTTAAAATCAATCAGTGTTTGAACATGTGATCCAAATATCTCAGGAAGAGTCAAGGAATGTTTTTTTTAAGGATCCAAGTTTATTCCACAAGGAAATAAAAGATGTCCGATCCAGATCATTTTTGTCTCTGTTCTCCTTCATAAAGTGCTTCTGCATTATCTTCATTCCACATAAAAACCTCTTTGGTATCCAAGAAAAAAAAAAAAAGGACAGACCATCTTAGAGAGCCTACTTTTCTTATAAAATAATTATTAAAAATTAATATAATTTTCAACGAGAGTCCCATCAGGTGCAGGGTTAGTATTTCACTTTGTGTTTCGTCCGAGGCTACACGTGGCCCTCAGAGGTTTCTTCTGGCCTTTTGGGTATTGGCGTAAAACAAAGTCAAAGTTTGCCGTTGTGGACATGGCGTAGAAGACGTTGGCTTTGTCCGGTATGAGCAACTCTGCAAAGAAAAACACAGGAAATATGGTCAAAATGAGTCTTATTTTCAGCACTTCTTTCACTGTATTTAGAAAGGAGTGTATTCTGACCTCTCTCCGAGGAGATGAGCTGCGTCAGCGTGAAGTCCTGCCAGTCCATGAGCTCCAGGTGATGTTTCTCCAACGCTCTCTGGATCACGTGCGCTGTTTTATCCTGGCTCGTCAACTAGACATGAAAAACAATTTAAAAAAACACTGATTGAGTTTATCCTAGAGAAAGTCAATGTTAAGGAGCTTTGATAGATGTGTTTACGTTTTAGCGAAGTAATTGGCTTATTTTTGTTTTTAAGAAAAATCTCTCTCATTTTTAAAGTTATTGATTGATACATACATGTATTTCGAACAAGTAAAATAAATAATAACAAAACAAAAAATGTTGCAGTGCATAGTCATGTAAGAGACAAAACAACAAAGTCACATTTACAACAACAACAACAGCATTAGCAACATGAACAGTCCCACATCTCGTGTTTGAAAAGGAGTGAGAAGAAGTATCATTTATTTAATCTCACCCCCTTGTCCCTAAATTATTTATAATCTATACATAATTATCATTATTAATCTGCTTTACTTGTTGATTGACATATATACACATACTGTCCTTATTGATTCAATTGTTATGTCCTTAAGGGAGATTTTTTGATTAAAGTAGCAATAACATACTGAAACGTATTGTATATATTGTGCACGTTTTATTTGATATTTATTGTCATTTTATTTTCGTAATATCTTTAAATGCAAATGTTTACATTCAATCCTTTATTACATAGATATTTTATTTAATCTTTATTGCATATGTTAACAGTTTTCACTTAACTTCCTATGTGTTTATATATATATATATATATTTTCTAATTATTATAATATTAAAAATGAGTAATATCTGAGTTAAACTTTTTTTCTTCTCAGTCAGTCTGTATGGTTTTATTGTTGTCTCGTGCTTTTACATTAGTTTCTTTTTGTCCTATCAGTTTTGTCTAAATGTATTTAGGCTTCCTTTTTATATATGTATTGATGGACAGCACTTTGGTTTTTAAATGTGCTATATAAATAAACTTGGATTGGAAAAAACAAAGTTGGAAAAGTCCCAACTGAAATAAGACGTTCACATTTGACCCGAATCCTTTTACGTCAAATCAGTGCTGGGTATAAACTCACCAGGATGCTCTTGTACATGTTCCCGTTGCTCTGACCCAGCTCCACGCTGACCCTCACGATGCACGAGTCGTCCACCTGGCGGTTGTACAGCGGCAGCAACGTCATCGACACCGAGCGCTTGTGCTGAGAGGGAGGGGGGGGCTTCGGACGAGCACAGGTCCCACAGGGGGAGGAAGAGGAGGAGGAAGAGGAGGAAGGAGTGGAGGAGTCTGGAGAGGAGGCAGCAGAGGAGCAGGGGGAGGACAAAGAGGAGCAGGGGGAGAAGGCTTCAGACACGTTGGTGCAGGAGCCGTGAAAAGACTGGAGAATAGAGAAGAAAAGGGAGGGTGAGATTATTAATGAGGGTGATGGGAACTATTCTCTAATTATTTCTAATGTTTCATGAATGACTTCAGCAGAGAACGCATCCCAATGTTATTAGATTAGATGACTTTACTGTCATTGCACAGAGTACAGGTACTAAGACAACAACATGTCGTTTAGAGTTATTCAGTGGAGCCCATTTTCTTTTTTAAACCTCTAACATTTAGCTGAAAACCTATTTATATAATTTGGCTTATGAAATGAATGTCATATTTGTTATATGTGACCTGCTCTATCGAAATCAGTCGCATTGACCCGAAGACACATTTTGAGTTGAATACACTGCTGGAAAGAGGAGACTCCTAGCTTTCTAATGATATCAGGATTGTTGTTGTACTCCAAATATTAAGCTAAATATGTCACATTATATACTGACTGTCACCGAGTCATCGTTTTGAGAAAACGGCCTTCAAAGTTTCCTCTTCTCTGGAATCCATCGATCTGATTGGTTATTAGCAAATGATCAAAGTACTACGGAGGGAAGATATTTTCGTTTGGATTACTGTTCTGGGGGAAGCTCGCGTTTGTGTTTGTGTATTTTTGCGTTTGTGTGTATTGTGTTTGTTTCCCGGGGAAAACCCTCACGAGAAACACCGGCTGTTGTTCTGCCTGCTGTGACGTCAAGTTACTCCGTTCTCCGCTTGTAATTATGCCGAAGCTTCAAAGTTGTATTTATCATCTGAATTTGCCGAAACAAGTTTAATATTCTGAAAGCCAAGAGTTTGTTTAAAGGTCCCATGTCATGGCCATTTCCACTGATCATAATTCCATTGAGGTCTACTAGAATAGATTTATACTGTGCAATTTTCCAAACTCACATTGGTTTCGCATACAGCATCTCTGTAAAGTATGTGTGTATTCAGCAGTATTCACTCTCTCCACTAAACGGCTCGTTGCAGCTCTTGCCCCCCCCCCCCCCCCCTCCCTGTGAGCCCAGTGTGCTCCGATTGGTCGGAACCAGTTGGGACGTTGTGAATCGCGCTGAGCTCCGTGGAGGTGTGATTTCCTTGTTTAGCGATACACAGCCAAACTCATCCTGAGCACACACAAAGTCACAGCCGAAGTAAAAACAATAAGTGTGGCTTGATATTGAGTAAGACAAAGGTTGATAAACGCTGTGAGAATGGGTCTGCGGAGAGAATGGGTCTGCAGAGAGAATTTCGCCGCGATCCCAACTGTCTGTTATCAGCCTGCAGCCAGGGAGGAGAAATCAGCAGAGCTGCCTGCACTGAGTGTGTGTGTGAGGAAGTCCGTGGATTGGTCAATTTGGACCAATCAGCGGGGGCTTAACGTAACGGCTCCACGGATTGGTCCATTTCGTTCCGGGGACGACATGACATCATGATGTACCCGGAAGAATCAAATGGACAGACGTATCTCCAACGAGGCGTTTTGGGGAGGTATTTTCTGTGTTAGAGTTTTACTCGCTACAGGGTGTACGTTGAGGGTTTTGACTCTGCACACCGTTTACATGCATAAAAACCTTCATAACACACAAGGGGACGGGTGATAACCGGAAAAGCATGACATGGGACCTTTAATTGAAATCAGATGAAAACAAACTGTAGCGGACCCTGCCGTGTTATCTATGATTACTATACGCCTTACATTCATAATGTCAGCCGGAGGGAGGGGGGCGGCGCTGCGGAACAGCAGAGTGGCGAGTGAGAGCTGTCTTCTTCCCTTTACAAGCTTCAAAAATGTATTTATCGTTTGATTTTGGAAATAAAAGTTTCATATTCTGAAAGCCAAGACTTTGTTTATTTCAAATCAAACAAAACACCCGAACCCCGAAAAACTAGTTTTTACACAACTCCACGTTTATTTTTAAATGAGCCGTTGCGACTTCCGACTGATTTCAATAGAGCGGGTCACAAATATGTACTAGATTATAACTATTATTATTTATTAAAATAATTTAAAGAAAAAAATATATAATTTTGGGGGAAAATCTGACTTTTATCTCAGAATTCTGACTTATTTTCACTAAACTCAAAAAAAGAAATAGAAATTTGGTCAGATCAAAAAAAGAAATGTCACACCGTGGAATAAGGACCACACTTGTCACACATTATTTTATTAGTATAATGTCCTTCATGTTTGTTGATCTGTAAAGCCCACTGAGACCAATGTGTTTGTGACATTGGGCTTTGTAAATAAAATGTGGACGTGTTAGTTGTAGTCCTATTCCAGGTGTGACATAAGTACTTCAGTAATGTAGGTCAAAAAGGGCCGTTCAGAGTGTCTGTCGTTACAGATGCCTGAAGCCTCACGATTGTTTGTGACGTGTAAACAGAGGCTGTTTCTCTGAACACACGATAGCATGAGATGAAGCGTGACTAACAGAGACGGCACTGTGGTGAGGACAGGACACACACACCATGTATACATCACTTCAGGGGACATTACATTGACTTACATGCATTTCCTGGAGACTTATCCTAACCTTAACCATAACCAACACATGCCTAACCCTAAACCTAACCAAGTCTTCACCCTAACATTAATGATTCCCCTCATGGGGACCTCCAATTTGTCCCCATAAGGGAGGCGAGTCCCCACACGTGACTGTGTAAACAGATTTAGGTCCCCACAAGTATAGTAATGCTAGGCCACACACACACACGCAGCTGTTTACCTGCAGCCCGAGGGAGCAGGTGGAGTTTGGGCAGGACAGATCCTCCATCTCTGAGCCGCTGGACCCGGAGGAGGAGACGCTGATCTGATCGGCCGGGACCTTTTTAGAGCCGTCGCTCACTGTGAGGAGGCTGAGGAGAGAGAGACACCATGAGAACCAGTCAAAGACAAAAATAATGCTGCAATAAACATACATCACAAGTGTTGGTAACTTTTTCATTTTTTTTAAAATTGAGTTTATTTACAATTAAAGTGTTCATAATGAAGCTTCAATGGTTTGTCTCTGTTTTTATTTAGGGTTATGACGCAGTGTATTTTTCTTGAACATAATCAAATCAAGTCATCTTCAATATAAATAAGGTCATTAAATTGGATTATGAATTCACCTTTATTAATTGATAACTCAATTTTGAATATATATATCTCACATTTTTCCTCAACATAAATACACATTTTTGTAATCACATTTTTTTATATCACTATATGGATGCCTAGATTTTCTTTTTTTATATTTGGGGTTGTATAAATATAAATATAATCCTAAGCACGACTAGGATCTAATTGTAAAAAGTAATATAATACTGGTTTAGCCTCAGCTTTATCAACTGTGCAGAAATATGGACTTTAAACAAAACAAATACATATGGGAAAATATTTAAACTATTCAGAACAGCCCAACTTTATTACAGAATACATTTTCCTTTTACTGTGTGTAAACATTTCATACAACAAATCACACTCCTTAACAACAGATTACATCTTGTTGTAGCAACGTGAACACTCTCTTCACCCACTGTGACTTTAGTGTTCATGTGTTGTTTAAAGGTGTGTGAGTGTGTGTAGTGTACATAGTGAAATGTTTGCACATTTAACAGCAAGCGCAGCAGCGTACTCACGAGGAGAGTTTCTTTGTGAGCGTGCGGTGTCTCCAGGAGGTCGGAGAACACAGATCCACCGGAGGCTCCAGCTGCCTCGACAGGTCATAGCTGGAACAAAAACATATATTCATTTACTGAGGAAAATGTTGTTTTTACTGGGAACATTTTGATATTTTCATTTTTTTTTTTTTTGTAAATAAAGTTATTTTCACATTTTAGCCAATTCTCAGGTTTCTATTATTCTTTACAGCCCATGTTTTATTTGACTTTAAAATGATCATATATTGTCTTTTTGTTAGTTTTTTGTTAAGCACTTGTAATAACATTTCCTACATTGAAAGTATTGTAGCAGAAAATATGATATCACTTAAAATGAAATACAAACACTAATAAGGAAAATCTGGGGTGACAATAGTGGCAGTAATAATTTAAGAAAAGTAAAATATTTGTTGTTGTCATTTGTTTATTTATCACATTGTTCTTGTCCAGATTAAAACAATGTTCTTAATAACAAATTGTAACTTTATGTATTGTGTATTATTTATTGTAAATGGACACTTCTACTATTTGGCATAGGTTCATAACTGCTCTGGTAATTATATAATGGAGGAAGAATGGCTTCTTTACGACAAGGTGAGATCCTTGTTAGCCACTGATAATAAAAGCTCAGTTTAACAGGACACTTTGATGCTGCACCTAATTCAATGGGAAATGATAGAAGCAACGCACGTTTATTCGTCCATGAGGAGGTTTTATTGACAGCAGAAGAATTTTAACAACGCATAATTCAGATTATGTAACTTTTATTGGGAATTTCAGCGGGCGTTCCCTCTGCTTGGGATCCGATCACAGGGATATGATGGGAATATTAAACCACTTTTTATTGAAGCTCACCTCTCCACCCAACACTGAACGGGTTGTCGCGGGGAGGAGGTGCTGCCGTACTGACATGTATTGTTTATTATTGACATTTTTGTTTTAGCTGACTGGTTTTCTATTCATTTATTTGTTGTTTGTCTGTTTTTGTATGTCTGTTTGTCTTCCGTCTGTGTGGGATTTTGTTTGGTATTAAGCGGTATTTACATTGTTACTGTACCTATTTTTCTATAAAGTGAAGATTTCTTTACCTACTTCTGATACATGCTCTGGTAGAATAACTGTATGCTGTTGAAAAAACCCAATAAACAAAGAAGCTCACCTCTCCAGGTCTGTGAGCAGCTTGCTTCCCCGCAGCCAGGCAGAGATTCTGGAGTGATGGGGCAGGTTGTACTGGGAGCAGGACATCTGCAGCACACGGATCTGAGACAAAACATCAAACTCCTGCAGGGAGACAGAAAGGACAGAGGATTAAAACAGAATGAACGGGATGTAAAGTGATCCTTAAAGAGATATGTAAATGTCTAAAAATGACACCTGAGCTCTGTTAAGTGCCCCGATAAACATTCCTGTTTGTCATCTTGCAATCTACTTATTTATATAAAATAGCTATCACCGTAATAAACCGTATTTCATTCAGTCTTAATGTACATTATTTAATTTAATATTCTGTTCTTGTCATATTCTATTTACGTGTATAGACTTCTTGCACTATTCTTTATTTTATTATGTTGCATTGTTGGAGGAGCTCAGGTCAGAAGATTTTCATTGCCATTTCTACACTGTAGCTTATGTGCATATGACAATAAAACCTATGAATTTGAATTGAATTTGTTTAAACCTTTCTTTAGCTTTCATCATGTCCTACTGAAAAGACAAAATGTCCCTGTTTATTCTGACAATGCAAATATACTGCACACACCCAGCTACACCATTAAGTCAGTGCTGACAGAAATGTACAAGGACACTTTGTACTTCGTTTTGTTTAAAAAATAAAAGTGAATACATAAAATACGGTACAAAAAGGAACCACTTACCCTTCTCCTCTTCTCAAAGTTTATGAGCCCACCCTGTCAAAAGAGAAAGAATGTATATTGAATATATAACAATGATTTATTGGATCAAGTAATAGTATAATTTGTTATCTTTTATTGTTTTTTCCTAACATCCCTATTTATTATTAAGAGCAGTATAAATGTCACTTAAATGGTCTTTAACATGTTAACATACCTCCCGTGAATTCTTCAAAACAATATGATAATATAATAACACAGCTGTAATGAAGGTAATCAAAATGTCATGTTTCCAATATGTATACACAACCAAATACTACTAGAAAGCTAAAACAAGAAGGCTAATATCAAGCTAGCTGATGATAGCTAAAACGAAATGTCCTTATGTCGATTTTCTTTAGCTCTGTAAATAAGATAACATATACATTTGGTTAAACTGACATCTTAGTCATTTAGTTAATATTGTTTGAGTAGCTAAATGAGTCGGTAACTAATCAAAACTTGACTAAACACCTGCTAAGGGTAGCTAACGTTAGCTTAGCAGAATTTTGTAGCTACCATTTTGAATCCCATTGAACTCACATAATTATCTGAAGTAAAGCTACCTTTAGATTACATTAACATTTATGAAATTGTTGATTAATTTGCCATATTGGTTTAAATTTGAAAATGAATTGTATTTAAGCAGACTGCAACTAGCAAAACAGAGTAATAAAACTAGCATACTCCTTACAAATGCAGAAAAGGAGGGATTGAAGGTGAAAATTCATGAAAGACATATTTTTACTGTACACAGTATATACCTAACTATTTAATGTTAACACTGTCAAATATTAAACAGAGGAACTGTATTAAGGCTACATTATTTACCTCCACAGTGTCTAGCAGAGCAGTGTCCAGCATGGTGAGGACGGTCAGATATGTGCCCAGGTAAGGAACCACTCCATTGGAGGCACTCTGCAGACACACATGGAAGAAGGGTTAAAGTTTCCTGTGTCACTGTGTGTGGTTATTTGTGTCTTTTTAAACAGTCATTAGCTTTTTTTTTTATTTAATGCATTCACACAAGGCAAATCCCATTTAGCAGCACTGTGGGTTCACGTTACGGCCCAGGAGAATGTGCATATGACTCATAAAAGACCCCAGTCTGGTCTATTATTACTGTCCTATAATCCCGGTGATCTGGGGCCATTTGAAACTTGTTCAGCTCAGAGCGAGGCTAAAGATAGGTTTGGGTATCTGCCATGCCAGACATACTCCACCCACACGGAGAGAAACCCGCTCTCTGGTGGCTTTTAACGTTGTATAATAGGGTTGCATGTGAGATTGTGAAAAGCTGAAACTAAGCCCTGCCCCAGGTAGAAGAAAAAAAAAAAGACAATTTCACAAGAAAAATGAACATTGTGAAAAAGCAAATGTATCACATCTGGCTCTCGCTTCAACATATCTCAATCCTTTCTGATCCTGAGATATGGCTTACCATCTGTCTGGGGATCGGACACCTCTTCGATATCTTTGGGGAAATGTTATTTACAGCCGCTGCGCCTCCATCCTGTCGAAGTAGGTCAGACAGAACTATATTCAGTTGGAGGTGATATTTTAAATGATTTAACCTTACCAGCATATTTTTGTTTGTTTGAATGAAGGAGCATGGACAAAATGCATGCATGCTTGTGAAGCAGGTTCTTCAACACAAGAATAACACTTATTATACATTAACTTGGATATCCTGTTTAATTATTATCTTGTGCAAAGGGAGGGAGGCCACTTTCAAGCTTTCTCTCGGAAGTCTTTGTATGTTATATCTATGAAAAGCAGCGATTAGGCTGTAAACAAATGTGTGAGTCACTGAGGTTAAACAGAGAAATGCCTCCTTTGATAAAAGGGCTGCACCTGAATGATGCAACTACAGTATATTGGAAAGTGAAAATGAGAAGAAGTTAACAAAAGTGGGACATTTAGAAAGACATCCAAGTGGATATCTTTGGATGGTATTTTAAAGCAATTCATACTTCTGTGTATGTGCAGATAATGCCAGTCTTTCTATGATCTATTGACCTTAGAGTCCTTTCACTAGACAAAAGTCACCTCTGACGCAGCTGCCTTAAGAGGATTTCATAAGCGAAAAGAGGGAACACAATGTGCTGCAGGCGTCTGGTTTCCCATTAACTATCTGTTAAACATTTCTGTAAATATTAAACTTGAAAAATGTATCTTTTGTAATGATTATAAAAAGATAAATCCATGTGCTTAGGAGGACAATCATTCCCAGACATGGTTTCAATACGTAACATATTGAATGTACTATTCTCTGTATGCAACAGGTGGTTGATATCAGTGCTTAGATGCAAACGTAGGAAAAATATTTTCCATTGAAATATATAGGAAGATTACCACCTTATCAGTTGTTCTTGTCAGGTAGCATTTACTGTAGACTATCTTCTATCTACCTACATTATTTTACACAGTGAGACAATTCCACATGAACTACATACAGTATCATCAGGTGTGTATATATATGTTCCCAGGCTCCTATGTTTCCCAGCTAATGCGACACATTTATAAGACCGTTTAAAGGGTTTTATGTAAACGGATTTTACAGATTTTTCCCTATAGGTCAAAACGTTCAATGTACGTTTCCCTGGGTGTTTAAATCACACACAGATTACAGTTCACTGATGTTATACTAGGTTAATTATACACTGTCACCGTGGGCAAGACTGTTTTCTTTACTCCTCACATTGATATTTTGACAATGGCTGTAAAGATGTGTACAATTCAAACTGCATTTGAAACATCCATCTCCCTTTAACCTTTTTGTGATTTGAATTACAAAGATGCATATAAACGTTGCAAAGGTAAACACTGTAAACACATTTTCCTTCTCACCTCCAGCAGGAGCTCTCTGTTGGTCAGAACACAGTTCTCATCAGGGAAGGTTTCCCAGAGGTTATCAAACGTCGCCATGCTATCCCTACAACGAGACAAAATGTATTAAATATGCAGCCATTTTGCCCAAAACTAGACATTTGAATACTATAAAACATGACCAGATGTTAATGCCTTAAAGCAACAACATGAAGTTATGCTTCAGTTATTGTTAACTGCGTTGTTGATGACCCTTATGTCACCAAGAAGCAAGACATTTGCTGACTTGCTCAGTCAGTGACATTGAATTGCACTCGATGAGGGTTCAATGTCCTCATTAAAAGGACGATTATGTAGAAAACAACATAAAAGTGACACAGAGAGGGACAGAAATGTGGCCTTTGAGACGTCTCTAACCCTACCTGTTAACGGCAGCCCAGGTCTTTCTCAGCCTGTAAACTGCATTAGACTGAAGGGCCGACAGGATGGCCTTGAGAGAGGAGAAGTTCTTCAACCGACGACAATCCTGCAGAGCAAACAACGAGCATTCAGTGGGTTCACCTCATTTAAAATCGAATTGTATTGTTAACCATTCTTTGTGTTGGCATATGGTGATAAAGGACCAGAGGTGGGAAGTAGTGGAGTACAAATACTTCGTTACTGTACTTAAGTAAATTGTTCTGGTATCAGTACTTTACTCCACTACTTATTTTGTTTTACTTTCTAAAAAACACAAATACCTGTACTTTCTACTTCTTACATGTTGAACACAAATACCTGTACTTTCTACTTCTTACATTTTCCAAACATGCTGGTTCCTTTAGTTTGAATGTGTGTTTGGTGGCGTGATCATTATTCTTTAGAGTCATTGCGTGCCTATTGATTTGAACACGATCCGTGTATCCATCATTTCCTGCTCTTCTCTAAAGAAGAGGGACCAATGAAAACGTTGTCATGTTGCCGTTGTTCAGCATGGAAACATTCATTAGCTAACAATGACATTATTGTTCTATTAATATAAAGGGAGGTCAGGTACTCTTTAAAACAGCTGCTAGTTATGGGTACTTTTTACTGAAGCACATTTCAAAGCCTCTTTACTTTTACTTGAGTAAAGAAGTTTAGTCAGTACTTCTATTTTTACCAGAGTATTTTTAAACACGAGTATCTGTACTTCTACTTGAGTAAAGTATGCATGTACTTTTGCCATCTCTGTAAAGGACTAGTCAAAGAAGTCCTATCTTTGGGTTGAGTTAAGCTACGTCTTTAGCCACTAACCTGTGCTACTCTGATCCACTTCTCTATGATGCGGGCCCTTTGACCCGGTGAGGTTTGAGGCCCGTTGGAGGAAGTTGGACTGAAGTTGGCATCTGTAGGCTGGCAGAGCAGGGACATGATGACCCGGTTAGTGACGGCGTTGAACTGCACAATGGTGGCTCGGATGGTGGGAGACATGTTTTCCTTCTTGTCTCGTTGCGACCACACACATCCCAGACACTGGTACGGCACCACTTTGACAAACAGAGCCTGAAACGCCATGAAAACCAATCATTAGTCTTTGATTACGAATGTAAAACCCAAGAAATGGTGGAAATAAATTCCATCCTCTCACATACCGAGTCCATTCGGGTGAGTTGATCTGCAATGGCTGCCGCGGAGAACTCCATGAATCCACCTTGATCCGGAGAGTTCTCACATCCTGAATCTTCATCACCAGAAGCCTCCTCATCTTGCTCCTCATCAGCAGAACTAACATCTTTATCAGCTTCTGAAGACACACACAGAAATTAAGAAACAGTGAGCATGTCTTTATGCATTTCGTACGATGGTATAGCAAAAAGAAAGCCCTTATAATTTGTTCGTGTCATGTAATGGAGGATCACCTTCGTTCTGAAACGTCTTGAGCAGTGCCTCAGTTTGCCCGGCCAAAGAGCTAAAGTTAGGTTGTCTGCGCATGTTGTGATGAACTGCAGAACTGATCCTCAGGTGATCCAAAAGCAACCTGAGTGCCGGGTGAAGGGGAGAGTCCCTGAAGTCCTCGCTGTACTCATCCAACCATGTCTGGACAAAGGCCAAGAGAGGGCTGAGGAGGCAGAGATTCATTACTACTTACACAACACCAGAGTAATATATTAAAACTAACCCGGATAGGTTCAAGAACACTGTACATTAAGGAGCATCTGTAACCCACCTGTTGTAGCATTCACTGTTGTCCAGATCTGAGGCAGCATTGTCTCTAATGGGAAGAAAAACATACTTTTGTTATACTCCTTTGGCTGTTTTCTGTATATCTTTTAATTACCATTTGCTCCTGCCCTCCAACCCTGACCTTGAAACATGCCAACCACAGTCTAAAACCACTCTGTCCATAATTGATGTTGTTGAAAGCCTCAGGATGATGATCACCTGCTGCTAGGTACTTATTACTACATCAAAGACATGGTTGCTTTGTCAGCGACACAATGTATAAAAAGATCCTGACGCAACTTGGTGACTCTGCGTGAGCAACAAGCACCACCCGTGTTGTTTTCCCAGAATCCAGCACAAAGGAGATTACTTTTCACCTGAGGCTCTTCATCATGTTCAAACATGAGCCTGTACTTTCTGATCGGAAAACCATAGAACAGGTTTAACTGTTCTAAATATTAGCATAGTAGGAATAAAAACATACAACCAAAGCAAAGGGAAACTTATGAAAAGTGTGCTTGAATGGACAATGTTAATTAGGGGGACTGACATGTATAACTCTTACCACTGAAGGAATAGTTTGTTGCTAAGCTAACTGAGCAGCCAGTTAGGTTAATATCTGGAAACATTTAACATACCCTTAAAAAAAACAAGTAATTTCTGGTAATTCCCTGAAAATTGACTTGAGGATTATAAATTGCTCCTGTCAAGATTTGCACTCCAAGCTATCGTGTTTTGTACTTATGTAATCAAACATTGCAGTGGTTGCTGTACACACACCTGATTGAAGTCTGCACTTTTTTAAGTACACTCGTCTAGTTATTTATATATACTTAGGCTAGCATTTTCAACCTCATTGGTGCCAAGCTAACCAGATGCTAGCTGTAGCTTCTTATTTGCTGTATAGGCATGAGTGGTATTAATCTTCTGAACTCTTGGCAAGAAAGCCCATAAGTGTATTCCACAAAACAGCAAACTACCCATTAAGAAGCAAAGACCAGGCATACAGTGATGTGAATATTGATTGTACCTGTGAAAGAGCAGCTCTATAAGCTTTGAGGTACTGATGAAGGTCCTGTATGTGGAGAGGAAGATGCGGCTGTAGTCCTGCTCCTGGTTCTCAGTGTCGAGGATCTGATTCACGAGGAGGTCCAGGGTGGCAGCTTTCAGACGCCGCACCTTGCAGGTTCGGTACTGAACAAAAGCACAACATGGACCCTCCGCTCCGGGGTTTGGGGAGGAAGGGACGGGTTCTCGACGAAGAGTAATCCCATAAATCGCGCCATCCTCGAACTCCTCGCCCCACTCCTGCACTGGGTTCTGGGGAAGGGAAATAATGATTGCTTGTAAGTGAAAGTAATATTGCAAGAGTATATTATAAAGTGTTTCCTCCTTTTTTTGAGGTTTTTTGGAGAGAAATACATAATGCCTTACTTTCAAATGTCATGTGCCCATGGAGAGTAAGACTTTGATTTTTGGACGCATACCTCAAGAATGGACTAAAAAAAAGACAAATATGTATTAAATCTGTTGCTGGATGCGAGTAAAAAAGCTCTTACAAGGAAGTGGTTATCACCAGATAGCCCAACGTTAAACGCATGGATGGATATTACAATGGATATTTACACAATGGAGAGGATAACATCATCTGTCAATCACAAACTGGAACTATTTGTGTCACGATGGAGAAAGTGGACTGATTTCGTAAAACCTCATAAGCCAGATTTTATTTTTACAAACGTATGATTTTACCGTGTAGTCCTGATCAGTCCCTAATGTCAGTACTTTTTACTGTTTTTATTTTATCTTTGTGTAAAAAAGAAAAAGGCTTTTTGGACAGACAAACTTCAGATGTACAATTACTATGTCTTGAAACAACACTGTAATTGTTTGCTGCCAAATGTCAATACAAAATATATTACAAAAAAAAAAGAAAGTAGGACCAGCTGATTGTTTGACTCATTAATAAACTACTCTTGCAAGAATAAAATGTGAAAAAGTCCAAGCAGGAGTGATTTCTTATAAAAACTGTATAGGTATGTGCCATTCACTGTTCTGCTCGGGTACCAAAGGTATACGTGCAATACACACTATACTATATGTAGTCATGTTTTTGGTGAAAACATCAGGGTAAGAGGGTGGGTGCAAAAATAGTAGAGAGCCTCCATGTCCAGGTGAACCAACACAAACAAGTGACATAACATCCCAACTGCCAATGATCCAATGTGAACCACAACAACTACGCGAAATCTGCTTACTAAGAACCACGTCTACAAATACTGCACAAACAGCTTAGTGTGTGATGGTAATAATTATCAGATCCTCACAAACTCTAGATGCTGGTGTTAGCTAGAGCTTGGTTTGCATTGCAACAATTGCACAGAAAACCTGACATTTCCCAGAGTTGTATAGGTTCATGGGAACGTTTATGGATTACTGAAACTAGGCTAAATGTGCTTACTCAGGACAGGTTAGTTTTAGCCTGTGCTTGGTTTCCATTTAACAATTATACGGGAAGTGGATATTTCCTAGAACGTTATAGGTTCTTGTTTATGGACCAATACAACTACGCAGGATTTGCTTACTCCATTATTCCACTGACTTTCATTTAAAAACCTGAAATTTCCCCGAATTTTATAAGTTCACATGAATGTTTATGGACAAATACAGGATTATCAAAGGTTAGCACATCAAATGCAAAACACAGCCTAAATGCCAACAAGTTCCCAGAAGTATTCCTCAGTAACCAATGAAATAAAAGCCTTGGACGACTGTAAGCTAGTTTAGCAACAAGGGTCATGATTTTGTATAGACACTGTTTTTGTTATATATTCAGACATGAGAACACACCTTGTTTGATCTCGTGGAGACGTATTAATGAGTCATGGCTCCTCCAGATCGCTCAATAGCACTAGACACGGCACACACAATGCACCAGGGTTTATCGAGTAGGAATACTGAGCGCCTTGTTCAGGCTCTGATTATGTGAAGTACAACAGCTGTGACGCATAAATTAAACAGTTCCAAAGAAGCCGCCTAACAATATGTATATAAGCTACCACCAACTAATTAAGGGTTACTGCTCAAAATTCAAGGAAACAAAACGAAACTGTTTTCTTTCTCCTTTGCATAGTCAAATCACCTCTCCTGCACGACAAAACAGGTTTTGTTTACAATTTGATGTTGTTCAATTTTATTTTTCAGACTTAACAATAAAATTGCACCGTTTTCCACCCTTAAAAAAAAAAAAAAATGTTAGAAGGGTTTCAATATCTTCCGAAGATTTACTTTTAGAGCCGTGAATGTTGGTAGGGGGACAGATACAGCTGTGTACACTGCATTTAAATTATATAGAGGACTTCCCAGGGGCAACAAAACTGCAATTCTCACATTTCTGGGAAACTAAATCTCGCAGAATCCTATTTTTTGGAATAAACATAACGTTTGGACGAAATGTAAATGAAAACCTCCATGACACTTCCAAAATACCACGCCTTCCAAACTTCCTGACCCAATTTGTAACACAGGATTTCTTTATTTCAATCCCAATGCCCAAACCAAAGCCATAACAAGAACACTTCACTAGTAGACCTCCTTTAAAATGCCTCATGTGTTGTATAATAACATCCAGTCTTGCAAAACGTTGTCTAATCTATCTAGTTAACATGCAAATGATTCACAAATCCATCCAGACACTCAGGAGTGAAAACAACTCAACATTCAATATGCTCCAAAGTAGAAAATCACTTGTCTCAAAAGGGGTTAGAATTAGTCCAAACACTACCCATCTTCTTCCATCAAAACAGTTTGTTTGTATGTACAGTAATGTCTGAAGGTCATGCCTGCTCACAACAATGGTTTTAAATTGCGTATCCACTGTAAACGGGAGGACTCACATCCTAATTTGCAAATCATTGAAATGTCTTCATGCAGAGACAGACGTGTAGCTGCATTGTCTGCTAACCAGTATCACACAAACCCCATTGTCCCTCACAGAAACTGGGAGCGTTTGTTTTCTCCACAGAGGAGAAACTGTGCATTGTGTCCGACTGTAACTCAGCGATGGAGGCACTGAGCACGACTGACATCCAGATCCAAAACCACAACACTCCTCCATGTTGGCGTCTACAGCATTTTGGTTTGAATGGAAAAGCAGATCATGTCTGTCTTGAATGACAGACTTAGACACAGGAAGTAAACAGTCATGGTCATGATATTCTGCAGCATCGGTTTTTGCAGATCAGAGGAAAGTTAAAACCGTGGGATCTTCAAACAACAGTAGAACAAGTCTGTTAAAAACACTTACTGTTTAAAAATGTTTGTTATATTGATGTTACTTCCCAAAATGAAATAAAAAAAGTCAAATTTGTGCCCATAAAAACAAGGATGTATGTCACATGTGTCAAACTCAAGGCCCGGGGGCCAAATCAGGCCCTTGGTGGATTTAATTTCAGCCCGCAGGATAATTTGTAATTACTATTAGATCTGGCCCGCCGGTATATTGCACGCACACCTTCACTCAATCCTGAGGGTCTCCTCAGCTCAGAGCCTGAGCCCAAACATTGATGACCTTGCACCCAAGATGAGATGCCAAGTATCTGAACTAGCTTCACAGAGCAGCACACTGAGTTTAATGGATGTTTCCTTCTGCACTTTGTCTCTCACGACAACAGTGCATGTTTGGTTTTCTCTTTGAGGGAAATAGTTTTGTTGAAGCTGTTGTTGGCCTGTGGAGAAATGTAATCATAAGAAATGACTCAGGAAAAACATGCAGATAGAGCCATAAGAAATGAATGCAACTGATTATTTAATGTTTAATGTTGTTTTTATAGGCAATCATTTAAGCTTTGTTAGTTCCAGGTTTAATATGTGCAATAAGTTCATTTCAATAAGTTCTGCAATAAACATTGAACCAGTCCGGCCCTCGACTAGTACCCATTTTTTTATTTTGGCCCACTGTGTATTTGAGTTTGACACCCCTGATGTATGTAATTTATGGCAACATGATTTGGAAATATCATGCAATTTAATCTGTATTGTATTCTTTAATATTCTGGGTGCTTCAATAACTGCCAGATATTCATTTTGCAGTAAAAACTGAGGTTTGTCTCTATGTTTTAAATGTAATTATTGTACATGAGAGGCACAACATGAGGCTAGACTTGTTTGAAGCATTAGTAAAAAATACAAAAAACTTCTGGACTGCAGATAAGACATGGGATAAATTACATTACAGATATATTTTTTTTAATGTTTTTAAATATAAAGAGTGGCTGTTCTGAGTTTGTGTCTACATGGTTTATTGCACTTTTTGTAAGTCACTTTGGACAAAAACCTTATCATTTATTTACACCTATAACATGAGGGAATCGCTCTGATTGGCTGTATGGAAACACATTACACGACAAGCAATGCTGAGACTCTATCGATTAGCGTAACTCATGTATCCATTTATATTTCACAAGTATATAAGTATGTGTGTTACTCACCATTGTCAACTCCCATTTGCCCATGTCGTCCGGTATCCTAAGGAGTGTTGCTTTCCATCTCGATAGGAATTGAAGCACTTAAAATAAACTTCCAACTTCGCGAAACAGTGTCTTTATGGCTGCATGTTGATTTAATAAAAACGCTTTTTTAATATCTTGTTTGGGACTACATTAACGCGCCTGCATTAGAGTAAAAAACGTGTTTCTCTGCAGAGTTTCAGCTACATCCTACAGCAGCATAGGAGTGAGGATCTGTCAGAGGGAGAGGGTTAAAGTGTTCAGACCTGTTTCTGATCAGACTGAAACTCACAGGCTTTTATACAGGGAGGTACTCTGAGAGGGGGAGGAGCCAGAGGAGGGGTGTGGTGTGTGTGTGTGTGTGTGTGTGTGTGCGTGTGTGTGCGTGTGTGTGTGTGTGTGTGTGTGTGTGTGTGTGTGTGTGTGTGTGTGTGTGTGTGTGTGTGTGTGTGTGTGTGTGTGTGTGTGTGTGTGTGTGTGTGTGTGTGTGTGTGTGTGTGTGTGTGTGTGTGTGTGTGTGTGTACTTGTCTTTGGAAATAGCCAGAGGTGGATAAGTACTCAGGGCTTCTACTTAACCCTTGTACTGTCTTCCTATCGACTAAAATTAAATAAATAATTACCCAAATCCGTATTAAGCCATTTAAGCCAACTTTATTCTGATTAAAATTGTACTCTTCTTTTTCAAAACGTACGGTGAATAGATCTCATTTACACTAAATTAATCATAATCTCTGAGTTAAAAAAGGCAAAAATGTTGAATAATTTCACAAAATTGATCCAGAAGGCTACAGATGCAAAACATTTCAACTAAAAAAAACATCGCATACAAGTACACGTGTTATTTTTCTGGCACTACCATAAAACAAATCTTTATTCAGACATAAAAACATTTTGAAGCGGGTCAGATTTCACCCAAGGACAACAGAAAGGTTAAATAAATGTAGCAATAATAAATAGTAAAACTACTCTGTTAAATGTAAAAGTCCTGCATTAGAAATCCTAAAATATACTTTTATCAAAAGTAAAAGTATGATGTAGTATGGAAAAATCATAAATTATGTATTATCATTATTGACACATTAATGTGTACATCACTTTAATATCGGAGCTACTCCACTACATTTATCTGACAGCTTTTTACTTTAGTTACTTTACAGATCTGGACGAATGATGTGAAATATAAAATGTTGAGATTGTCCCTCTGATAGGAGGCAGAATTTGATCGATTGACGTCATGGAAAGTTGGAAGTGTATCAGTCGTGTCGGGTGATCCACTACTGTTGTCAAGACTACAATATATAATCAACTATTGGATTAAATGTACCTATTATTGTCCCCTAGTGGTGTAACTAAGTGTATTATTCAAGTAGAGTACCATTTTGAGATACTTGTACTTTACTTGAGTATTTCTATTTTATGCTACTTACTTAGTATTTCTACTCCAGTATAGTTCAGAGGTACATGGTGTATTTTTCCTCCACTACATGTATTTAATACCTTTAGTTACTTCACAGATGTGGATGAATGATGTGAAATCTAATCAAGTGTTAAATCAGACTTTAGTTCCACCTGGAGTAAATTCACAAGCTACCCTGCAGTATACAAAGTCCTTCAAACTAGCTGCACCTTTACCAGCTTTGAGAACACTTTCATGATCAATCATTATAAAACATATCATATATATTATTCTGAAATGGACCAATCTGCACAACGACTACTTTCACTGTCGCTACTTTCACTATATTTTGATGAGAATACTTTTCTACTTTTACTTGAGGAACATTTTGAATGCAGGACTTTTAGTGTAACAGAGTATTCCTACACTCTGGTACTTCTACTTTTACTCAAGTACAAGATCTGAGTACTTCTATTTTTACTCAAGATCTGAGTACTTCTACTTTTACTCAAGTACAAGATCTGAGTACTTCTTCCACCTATGATTGTTGGATAAACAAAACGTTACCCAACATTTTAAGCAGGTAAAGTTTGTTCAGCCTCAGAAGAACAGCAACAATAACGTTTCATTAAAAGCCACACACAAGAATAACAATGGTGTAATATTATAAAACTGACAGTGGTTATTCGGCATGAAGAGTTATTTTGATATATTATGATAGATATTATTGCCGATAATTTACTAGACACAACTTGTCTCAAACTCCACTGAAGAGTCCGTTCTCATTACCCATGAACTGAAGTTTCCACATCACACTTTCATTAATTTAATGTTGAGCAATTACTGGCTTCCAAACTAGTTAGTCACCAAATCATGTAGGTACGAGTCCTTCAACTGAGAAATGTATTTCTTCAGCAGATGAATGCGAAAATAATCCTCCAATGTCAAAAGCTACACACATCTGTCTGCACAGTGAAGGGTAAACATCAGCCTGACACATTTGTCAGTGAAGTGGGACTTTAAAATGCAGATTGCATCATCGGATGACTTCACCAGAGTATGTGTTAAGGCATCTTCCTAGAAAACATGTTTGTTTACCTTAATGTAAAAGTATGTTTGAGGTAAAGGCATCAGCTAAGAGTCAAAGCCTGAAATAAGGACTGTGGTTTAAGAGATTTCTGAAAAAGGACTGGCAATAGACGAAAACATGACCATTAGCTAGATCAGGTCATGCTAAGAGGAAAGGCTTTTTGTAATAATGGTGAACATCAAATTGAAGTTAATAGAGTGGTGCAGGGATGACGTATTTGTGTAGGCCGACCGGAAGTAAAGCATCTCCCTGGTTCATTCGACAAAAGCAAATGGGGTTTTTCCATAGGATTTTTGAATATTGCAGAAATAAGATGTGTGGCAAAATAAAGTTTATGATACTTGCACGTTTTGTTCAAGAGAATAATCTCCACATGTGAACACCACTTTATAATTTTTGAAGAATAAATGCAATCTCCAGTAGTAAAAAGATAACGTTGGGCTATAAAGGAACTACAGCACGGTCACATGACTTCACGTCACCACTGCTAAGCTAAAGGCGGCTAATGTTGGGCTATAAAGGAACTACAGCACGGTCACATGACTTCACGTCACCACCGCTAAGCTAAAGGCGGCTAATGTTGGGCTATAAAGGAACTACAGCACGGTCACATGACTTTACGTCACCACCACTAAGCTAGAGGCGGCTAATGTTGGGCTATAAAGGAACTACAGCACGGTCACATGACTTCACGTCACCACCACTAAGCTAGAGGCGGCTAATGTTGGGCTATAAAGGAACTACAGTACGGTTACATGACTTCACGTCACCACCGCTAAGCTAAAGGTGGCTAATGTTGGGCTATAAAGGAACTACAGCACAGTCACATGACTTCAAGTCACCACCGCTAAGCTAAAGGCGGCTAATGTTGGGCTATAAAGGAACTACAGCACGGTCACATGACTTCACGCCACCACCGCTAAGCTAAAGGCGGTTAATGTTGTGCGTGATGACGTTTAGTCGTCTCATTTAGACATTTGTTGGCAACTGCCATTTTTAAATTCACCAGTTGGGTATTTACTGACGTATTTTATTTTGATATTAAAATCTCTTTAGCTTGTGTCAACCAGATACCTTAATTCAGGATCCAAGCAAACCAGAAGTGCTAGAATGCTAACTTATGTACAGGTTTTAGGACTCATTCCTGCACCACTCTGTAGCCTTATAGTTATTATAACCCTAACCCTTTTTACTTCACCTAACTACAGTTCCATTTTGCTTCAAATATCATATGTGGTGTTCATTTGCACATTTTTCTTTGCAACAGAGCTCATTTTACCATAATAAGTCCCCAAACTGTATGGAATTGAAGCACTAAATCACTGGAGAAGAGTTTGTGTGGGTGTTTGTATTGCAGGTAGCAACTTAACAATCTGTCCTACTTGCCGTCTTTTCCAAGAAAGTGAAAACATGCATAACTTTTCTACGAAAGATGGCTCTTATTTCCTGAGCGTGGCATTTTGCTTTTTGTTGTATTGCAGCTCATGTCTAGTCCATCTCTTCCCATCAGAATGCAACAGACAACAAAACATCAAATGCTTTTTATTTAGTAAATACATGGATGTGTTGCCCAGTGAATTACTGAACTACTAACCCCCATATAGATTTTGTACGCCTTACTGACGTCAAATGTTGTATTGTATTGTATACTCATTGTGAAGCTGACCGTTGAACGGCCCGACCAAGCAAAGAGGCAGAGGCAGAGAGTTCAAATATAACCCGGTGTGGGCATTTATTACTCCTTGTGGTACATGACATAGCCTCAATATTACTGTCTCATGTGAACACCAGCCACAAGGATCTCACACACACTACCTGTCCACTGACAGGGAAAACAGAGCCTAAATACACACACACTAATCAGGCCAATAAGACACAGGTGGGGGGGGAGGAGACAACACAGGGCACCAGGTGACCACAATCACCAGTAACAGACAAGACGGGAGGGGAAACACTTGTACAATTAATGCAACTTAACGTCATGACATATACACGCTCAAACATATTATTTGCACACAATGATTAATCTCAACCTATGTCAATTTTACACAATCATAAACGCTTTCGGCGCTCTCGCTATAACTCCCCTCTCTTTTCAGGTGGAGCCGAGGACCCGACCAGCATCTGCCAGACGACATTCCAATTAATACGGTTTAATCATTTAATAAATACTACATCAATAAATAGTATAATTTATATAAAAATTTGCAAATATGCAATGCCAAACTGTACTGTGCAAATTACGCTAATAAAGTGCTGAGTGACATTATTACTGTGCAAAAGGAAGTTGTTTCATAAAGTGCAAACCCATATGTGCAATATTACAAGGCCCGAAGCTGTCAGTCCACGGTAACGTCACACTCATGCATCATACAGCACACGGGTCAGATGTATAATCCTTTGCATTCACAATAACCCTGAAACGACACCAGTGACGTTTGTGTTCCCGTTTCACCTCCAATCCCGACTCATATTGAGTTTCCGTTCCCTCTGACGCCTTTAGGTGTGGTTCTTCCCCGAGGGCCTTTTATTGTTGATAGCGTTGGCATCAATTATTAGCCAACACAAATTTGACACCGCTCTATCTGGGTCACACATCACACAGTTTAATTGAAGGGCATTTCCAGAGATGGTCACACAGCCTGGTCTCCTAAAAATCATGATCCTACATTTGTCAAATATCTTTTAAAGTTATCACAACTACGTCCGTAATTCAAGTCCATTTAAATCCCCACATGGTCAGTGTGGAAAACATGGGTTTTTCCCCTCACTGATG